AAACATTCGATCATGGATTACAAAAAATTCTATCATGGGTTACAAAAAAAAAAAAAACAAAAAATTCGATCATTGATTACAAGAAAAAAAAACAAACATTTCGATCATGGATTACAAAAAATTCGATCATGGATTACAAAAAATTCTATCATGGGTTACAAAAAAAAAAAAACAAAAAATTTAATCATGGATTACAAAAAAATCGATCAAGTATTACAAAAAAATCCATCATGGATTACAACAAAAATCTATCATGGATTACAACAAAAATCTATCATGGATTACAACAAAAATCTATCATGGATTACAACAAAAATCTATCATGGATTACAACAAACAAAAAAAAAAAAATCCGTACGGGACGCGCCGATTCACTGTACGGACTCGCGCGATTTCGTACAGTGAATCGGCGAGTCACTGTACAGAATCGTCCGGTTCTCTCTAAAACCGGACGATTCTCGTTTTTTTTGCCGATTCGATCCGTCCATGGCGATTCCCGAGTCGAACAGGGCGAGTCCGGTTCCGACTCGGCGTTTTTTTAAACACTGCTTTAGAGAGAAGATTACTTTCGATGGGGAGAAACATTACTATGGTGCCTCTTGTAGATTGAGAGGCTAGTTTCTTGCAGAGAAGTAGCTTCCATGGAGATATTGGGTAGTCTTTTTAGTGAAAAAGCCTTGGTTGCTCTCAAAGTTCTTGTTCAGGATAATGGTTTAGCTGTGAAATAGAGATGAGCATCTTCCTGGACAGTGGTTTAGCTATGGAATAGAGATAAGAGATCTGTAGGTGATATTATTCGAGAGAGCAGGTCTAAAATGGTTTGCTCGACTGGATTTGTCGAAGGTTAAATATGTAACCTTGTGTCTCAAAATTTGTCATGTAACTTTTATTGGTATAGTAGATTTCAGTTTGCCATGATCGTGGATATAGCACTTTTGGGATGAACCGCATAAATATTTATGCTCTTGTGGTTTGTGTGTTTAAGCTCTATTTCTCGTACTATGACTTCTAGTTTCGCCTATTTTGTTTCTAACTAGATAAATACACGTTCTCAGAGGGATCCAACTTTTGAAATTCCTATTTTTGTATATAAGAGGGTTCTTAAATCCCAACAAGGCTAACCTTTACTAGTGGGTTTTAGAGATACACCTTAATTTTATAGTGCAAGTTTGAGTGTTTGACCGATACAATTATGTTGTTAGAAACCCTATGATGACCTGAAAATCTATTTTCACCTTAATTATGAAATTTAAAATTAAAAAAATAATACAAATTAAGCTTATCTGTAAGACTTAATTTTTTTGCAAATAGAATAGTCTAGAAAATGCCTTACAAGATGGATTAATTTTAAGACTTGAAATCTTTTTTATTTTCATATCCATACACCTCGAGATCGAGATGAAAGGGCTTTTCATTAATGGAACAACCTGTTTTTGGTGGATTTTTTAGTAGCACCTTACTTTTATAGGATAATGTTGATTCCTTAAATAACTTTTGGGAAATTATCACCTGTATTCTTTTTTTTATAGTATGTAACAATGTCAACCTGCATTTTGAATTTTACATTCAGTCTTTTTTTCTCAACTTTTTGAAGGTTTTTCAACTTCGAAACTATAGTTTCAGGTGAGTTTTAGGACGGCTGTACTTTTCTCCATCTTTTCCTTAAAACCAAAGACTCATTTCCAGTGACTTTCTGTTGATGAGTATGAAGAGCTTACGTGGATGGTTGAAAATGAGGAGTAGCATTACGTGAAAATAAGCCAGTGTAACGGTGATGGCCCCTAGTCATCACGTTATTTTATAACACACCAGGGTATAAAACATCAGCTACATGTGCGAATATAATGAGATTTTCATTCAGAACAATATGTTACATGATGATATGTTTGGTGCAGTATTGGACCTGATCTTTTTAAATTAAAAAAAAAAAACAAGGGAAAATTTAAGATACCTTCAACTTGGGCTTTTTAGCCAATTTCACTCCGATTAATTTTTTTTTTGTAACTTTTACCCCAAATCATAATTTACTAACAAATACCCCTATGCAAAGAGTTGTTTTCTTAGACGAAAATACCCTTTTTTATATTTTTTTTGGTCAAATATTGACATGGACTGCCAGGCTGGGGCTGCAAACCATAGTATTGTGAAAACCATTCGCCGAACCACCTTTTACAAAGTGCCGGACCGAAGGTAATCTAGAACCCATAAACAAACTGTCGGACCCCCTATGCCGGACCGCATAAACAAACTGCCAGACGCCCTATGCCAGACCGGCTTTACAAGTTGTTGGACCAAAGACAAAACCTGCCGACCGCTATTAACTATTGCTAGACTGCTATTAACTATCGTGGGTAGGAAAGGCGAGAGAGGCGTTTTAACTTAGGAGAGGGTATTTTGGTTTTTTTTTACATGGGGGTATTTGCTAGAAAATATATTTTGGGGTAAAAATTGCGAAAAAAAGGTTGTTGGGAAGAAGTTGTCTGGGCGTATGTGCAATTGGCCCAAAACAAAAAAAAAAAATTATCCTTTTTGAAAAGGAAAACGTTTGTATAAGGTTGCAACTTTAGACCATTGAGGAAAGGTGCATCCAAAAAATCCTATAGTGAAGAATGTTTCCACATAGGAGAAACCTCCAACCGATCATCTCGACTTTGAGATGAATGGACAGGAACAAAAAACAGAATTCTAAGTTAAAAAAATAGTACATATTGTAAAAAGTTATCTAGGCCGTCTGTTTTCAAAAATTTAAAGTGTTTATTGAGCTGCTCGATATGTACCAGTTTTAAAATTTTTAAATTTCTAACTGAAGATAAAAAAAGATTTTGACGCCATTAGAAGATTTTCGACGCTGAAACAACATTTCTAAATAAATTTTGTAGGTGCACCTGACTTCTGCAATATAAGGAGGCAACCTCATATAACCTCACCCTTTTGAAAATGTGACCGCCATTAGTTTTTTTACAAAGTAAGTTTTTAAAGAATAAAATTTCACAATAATATTTTCCCATTTCCGTTTTAACGTACCATTATGTAAAGGTTTATATAATAACGGACGTTGCCTTTTATAATAGTGATTCCCGCTTCTTTTCCTGTTGAACTCAATGTGGACTACATAATGTACACTGTGTACGTAACGCTTACAGTATGGGTCCCACTCAACATTTTGTAAATGTCGAGGTTCTCTTTGGCATTTATAGAAAAGACAAACAGCACTTTATTTCTCTAGGCGGAACGGGAAGGATTCAAAATTCTCCCGGCTTGCAGGAGGGGAGACCAAGCTCTCCTCCTCTTTCTCTCTCTAAAACCAGGCTACTTCAAAAATGAAAACCCTTGGATTTATTCAATGATTGAAGCCCTAACTTCCAAGTGGCAAACCAGTAGACAGGGCATGGCCATGACAACCTTCCTTTCGTCACTTACCGGATTTTTCAAGCTTCCTTTTACCGGATTTCGCAAACTTCCTTTTCCTATCTCTATCAGTCTCTGTCAAGCTTCATCACCATACCTCTGGCTGTGGAGCTACTCTGCACCGGGTCCTTTAAGAATGGATCTCCCTTCACCTGGTTCCTCCTGCCCTGATTTTCTATTTTGTTTCTTCATCTTACCTCTAAATGGATGGAGGGGTTCCCTCTGTTTAAGTGGGATTGGTTGACTATGAATTTTTTTGTGCCGTAAAGTTTTTTGCATGAATTTGATTTTTGAAAGAATCAGTGTTCTATGTGCATTATGAGAGGATTCTCTTGGAATATTTTTGCCTCTTAGGGTTTTGATATTCTTGGATTTTCTGAGCCCTGGTTTTTTCTCAGGTCTATTTAAAAGTTATGAAATTCTGATCTTTTGGTAGCAGAGTCTTGATAAGTTGAATTTCTAAGCTTCTTTCTTGTTTTCTTCTTTGTTGCTTAGATGTGCCCTATAATGTGTTGATCTACAAGAAATACCACTATTCGGAATTCGGGACGTTGTTTTGCCTCGTTCTTTTCATGCAATGCTGGTGTTTTGGCAGTAGAAACTTGGTCTTTTGAATGTTGAAACTCCTGCTGGCTTTTCTCTGAAGAATTCTGCAAAAAATTGATGCATTTTTGTGGATTATGTTGAATTTCTTCTTCTTTCCCTTTAATCTGCATTATAACTTTTATTCCTAGATGATTAGAGCGGTTTCCTGAAACTTTGAGCTAATGGTCCTTTTCACAAGTATCTGTCCATGTTTCTTCTTTGTTTGCTTGTAGACTTTGTGTCAACTTTTCTTTTTAACCCCTAGAGCTGCACATTGAAGTTTAAGGAGTTTCTTTTTGTGCACTCAGTTTTCCTATGTTTATCTCTTCAAGTCCAGATTTGCGGTCTTGTTTGCTTTGCACTTCCAAGTGTCTACTAGTGTATGTTCTATAATCTTGTGCATTGAGCATCTCCATAATGGGAACTTTGAATCTATATTCTTTGGAGCTAATTCTGTTACAGTTTTGGAGATTCTTAAGATTACAAAATTCTGGTTACTTGTAAAGTTCTAAAATCTTGATTATCCAACTGAATTTTTGAGTCTCTCATTAGGTTTGCCCAATTCTCCGTCTAAGCCCATTTTGAGCCTTATATTTCATTTTTGTGATTATACATGATGAAATTAGATACCCAGCATCGTTGTATCTCAGTTCCCACCCAAATTTGTAAATATCAATCCGGAAGCAATAATTTTTTAGATTCATTTACATTGTTGTGAATGTGATTCCCCAATCATGAGAAAGATTTTCTCCACTCTCTAATCAAAATCAACAAAATTGGCTGCCCTCAATCCGATTTGTTCTTTTAAAACTGAATAAGTTTTTATCTGCATCCTGAAACCCTGGACCACCATGGAGATTGATCCTGATGCACCTGAATGGCTGAATCTCAATGGTCTTAACTCACCCTCAGAACCAATCGAATGGATTTTAGACAAACAGGCGATCATGGATAGGCACCAAACATGTGTGCCCCCAATGAACAGTCCTCTTTCAAGCCCTGAAAATTTTTTTAATGTCTATTCTGTAAGTAGTGAAAGAGACAATGAGACCAGTACCATCCAAGCCAACATGTCACGGGTCATGGACTGCTCTTCTCATGAAGTTGGGCACATGATCAACAATGCATCAACTGATAGCTTGAGGAGAGTGGCGTTAGAGTGGTACGAGAACTTTAAGAGGAATGGGCTTGCTAAAGAAGCAGAGAAAGCGTTAAGGGAGCAGTTTGAAGGTGAAGAACTGGATGGAGAGGGAGGAGATCAAGGGGGTATATTGAGTGAAGGAGGAGCACATCTCGTTGGGATGAAGTATGTGTTGAAAGATGGTTTTGTTAGCTATCTTCATGAAGTTGCTCAGATAACGTCGATACCTCAACAGGTATTGTTATTGGACTTTCTTTTGGTTTTTCTTTTGTCTATGTTCTTTACCGTTTCACTTTTTTTTTTCTTAATGTTATTTTTCTTGCTTTGAAGTTCTAAACAATGTGCAGAGCCTTCATAATCTTTATTTTCTTCCTAACACCAATTGTATCCCTATAAGGTTTATTTGGTAGCTTTTCAATAATTCTTTAGAGGAATATTCTAGTTTTTTAAACCTATCAAATTTTCATGTGGTAACCACAAAATGATGTCATTCCGATATATGCAGAATCCTTGCCATGTCTGATTCGCAGTTTTGAATATTATGATTCGTGTATCTATATCTTAGTTACTTTCTCTGGAGAATCATCCAGCAAAATATATTTTCTCCTAACACTGTGCATCTCTCTTTTAAGTCCTTATTCCGTAAATATTCCACCATTGTTACCTTTGAATGACCTTCGTAGGTTATATTTAATTCTTTATGTTCCAAAATTTTTTACTGTCTGGTTGGACTGGGAGTCATTAGGACATTCTCATTATGGGGAAAGTGCTCTGACTCCCCTTTTTAACCTTGCTTGTGTTTTCTGTGCTAGATGCCTTCATTTATCTGCACCACTTGATGCACCACTTGCTTGTGTTTTCTGTGCTAGATGCCTTCATTTATCTGCACCACTTGATGCACCATGATATATATAAGTCCTTCTTTGATGTATGAATAATTCATTGTAAAAAAAGAAAAAGAAAAAGATGTTATAAACTATTGACTCCATGTTTAAATGAAAGGTCTCTGTGATGATTTCCTTCATGTAGTATTTTTTTTTTTTGAAATTGTTTGGATTGGCGGGGTGGGGTGGGGCAAGGATGAGGTTGTGGGGTGAGGTTCGGGGCTGGATAAGAAGTACTGGTCAACTAGCTGGGTGAAACAATTTTTTTTCCCCATATTTATTGTTTATGTTTGAAGCTTTGGATTGTTTCATAATATCTATATTTTCTTTAGCATTATGTTGTTATTTTGGGTTTAGTTTATCACAGTTTTTAGTTCTTCTTAATATCCTTCCTTTTTGGAGTTTTCTGCACTTTTAATGCCATCCCATGCATTATTTTGGCATTTGAAGATCACCAGTTAACTCCAGGAGCTTACAGCAGTTGCTTCTGCTTGTCCTGCGCTTGTTATTTATGTTACATCTGGATGGATGGCTCAGAATAAGTAAAAAAGAAATGGATGAATGGCCCAGAAAAACTGGGGGCATACCCATCTAGAATATCTTGATGTTCCATTCAAACCACTATTTTCTTCATCAACTTGAGTCTCATTTGCATGGATTTTAACATATATTTCTCCTGTACTTTTAGCATGGTTTTACTGTTTCTATGCACCTGATGCTTTAATAGCCGGAAGAGCTATGATATATCTTTTTATTGTCAGAGTTTGATGTGGTGTTCTCTTATGATCTTTTTAGTTTTGTCTTGATAATTGTTCTCCCTATGAACTTTCAGGTGGTAAGATTTTCTGGTATTCAATACTCCAGGAAATTTGAAAATTTGCATAGTGGATATGAAACATTCGGGAAGAAGCTCTTTGGGTGCTTCTTTGGCCTTGCTTTTCGTCTTCTCCAGAAAAGATACTCATCTTGGATGCCTGTTCTTAAAGGCATCGATGGCTATGTTATGCCTGGATCAATGACTCTCCTTCTTGGTCCTCCAGGTATTTACAATGGAACTTGTGGAACTTTAATCATTTATTGTCAACCTTGGTTAATCCATTGAAGCAAGGTGTTTCAGGCCTTCTGCTGAATTCAACTACCAGAACGTGACAAGTTTTCTTGTGTTTTCTCAATATTATTTCCCATGTTTGCCTTGGAGGTGTTCATGTGCAATATCTATTGTGATATTTGATGTTGTTGCGCCTCAAGTTCTCCAAAAGCTTAAATATTTTCATTTCCTTGGGTTCAAAAAGGTTGTATCTTTACAATGATTCAGACACAAATATTACAACATTTTTGCTTGATCCTCTGATTGTCCCATTTATATTTCATTTTGTCTTCGCGGGAGTGTTTACTTGTGTCTTTATGTATTATACTTGAACAGGCAAATCTTGCCTATTATTTTATGCAACCATGGATCTATTCTCTGCATGGCTGTTTCATAATATGTCAGAAATGGGTCCTAGGTGAAAGGAAAATTTCCTCATCTCAAATTTCCGTTACAGCAGAAAATTTATTTGTCAAGTTAAAAAATCACACACAGTGTTTTGCTTTTAAATCTTTTGACACATTTTAAGCTTACGATTTATACAGGCAGTGGGAAAAGTTCGCTTCTGCAAATTCTTGCAGGGAAAGCAGGATCTTCAAAGCTTGCACTTTTGGAAGGAGCTGTCATGTATAATGATAAGCTTGCATCAGAGGTTTGTCTAAGCAGGCTGGTTGCATTTATCGATGGCCAGTTCAACAAGTAAGCTGTAAGAATTTACGTTTTTTAGATGTATGCATGTATGTGTATTTGCACGCACCCACACACTAGCAAAACATGAGATAAAAATGCACAAGATGAAGATTGTTTTCAGTGTTCGGACCAGAAACAACATCAGAGATTTATTTTATTGGTGACAGAGACTACGTGTTGAACACAAAGAAATATGCTTGAATTTGGGCAGACATATAGGGCCATATATTTTAAAAATATGGCAGAAATCCACCTCCACAAGTCACTTAGCTCCCACAACCTAGGCGCAATCTCGAATAAGTTATTCTTGTCCAAGTTATAGCTGTTGAAATTTGGTTCCATCTAGAATCATCAGTTTGCTGCTTAAATACAAACATAGCAGTGAGAATATCTGCTTGGTACTGCTGCACCCAGCTCCATTCGTGCGCCTGAAGATGGTCATTTGCAAATAATGAAATTGAAAGTTGTTTAGAATTTTTTCCTTGGTTCCCCCTAGCATAACACATTGTAGCAAGAGGTGGTAAAAAATTTCCCTTGTTAGTCAAATACAATGTTTGTTATACACCAGCAGTGATAGATTATCCACTGTTCAAATAAAATCCATCCAGAAGTTAGCCATCTTAGTTAGCCTTTGCACTGTACCCACACTTACAAAAAAAATAAACAAAATGAAGGAAATCCTATCCAGATAATCCTCTCCCATTATCAGCTTAAGAATTTGTGCATCGATCTCACAAAAGGGTGGAACTTGAAAAAAACCTTCCCATCCTTATATATATGTGCTTAGGGGCACCCAGTAGCTTGACCAAGTTCCTCAATTTTTCCTACAATTCCTTTAAGGAGTTTTAAATGATTTCTTCTCTCCATCTGTGAAGCTGTAGTGCATATCAGCATTAAAACACAATGGCCAAAAATTTAGACTTCTAAGTAACCAAATGCCTCACAAGTCTTACATCTATTGTTCAGAACTAAACAGTTGTATCACGTGGTATAAATGACAGGTTTTGGGATTACTTTTAGAGCGCATTTGTTTTGTGGAAGATGGGCCAGCCAAAGCCCTCTTTTCCACAAAGCTCGGAAGATGCCCCTTCCATGGTTTACCATGCAAGGGGCAGGCTCCTCAAGACAACATCAATTGGTACCGTTTTTAGGCCCGCTGGAAGATGCAGGTTCCATCTTGTGGGTTCCAATGCTGCATAACAAACATGGGTTATTAGGTGGAACTTGGGTCTCCCATTACCTAAAAGTTCCACCAAACAACAAGCCCACAATATGTGAAATCTGTTTTTGAGAATCCGGACTTGCTTTGTGGCCAGCACGAGTTACTGAGCGCCCCAAGTTGGTTGTTGGAGCCAATTAAAAAGAAGACAAAGAAAATAAAAAAATTCGGTGAAACGGGAGATTTGGAAAAAAGGAAAAATGGAAAAATAAAAAATAAAAAATGGTAGTATGTATTAAAAACATTATAGAAAAATTAAGAACTTATTAACAACATGATAAAAAATAAAATAAAATAAAACCTAATGTGTATTTTATCTAATTAAGATGATTATCTTTATAGATTTAGTTATTTTCTTCAATTTTTAAAAATTCTATTAAATATAATTGATTCAACCATCGAAAAATGGAAAGAAAATACTAGATCAATGAAAGTATAACAAGATCTCTAGATATATAGTGATATTTGTTTATAAAAGACTCGTTTAGAGGATAAGAAGTAAACTCAATATTACTTACTTGAAATTTCAATGTCTGTATTTGTGGCTGGTCCACCCAAATTGGTAATCTGCAGTTATTGAGGATTCCAATATTTGAAAGTGGATCCACAAAAAGCACAAAAGCAAGCCCTTTAGCTTCTCTAGGAGGTTGGTCTTTGGATCTAGATGGTCCATAGCTTACAAATGCTGGTCCTAATATCATCATCATTATTAAAGCCTTTTCGCAACTATTTGGGCTCGGCTACACGAATCTTGTTCTGCCATTGTGCTCTATCAAGGCCATACCCTCAGTGAGGCTATAAGTCCCCATATCTTTTTTCACTACTTACAAATGCCGGTCCCAATCTCAAACACTCAAAGCAAAATCTCATTGAACGAAATACAATCCTTAAAAATCCAAGATTTTCCCCTTTTTGGCAAAATTGGGGGTTGGATAGAAGAGAGAGGGGTAAAGTAGGATTACAGTCATTACGACATACCAAATAACAACCCTAGTAGGAAAATGAAATAGAAGTTTCAGTTTTCCAGGGGCATAAAACTGAAAAAAGAATATTATGGACTTGATGAGTACCTAATGATTTTGAAACTCGGGACTCGGCCAATTCTGTCAAAAAAACAAATGCAGTCCTGTATAGAATTGGGTGGTTCTTGTCCAAAATGAGAGTTGGGGATCCTCCGGAACTGAGATGTCTCTGGTCTAAGTGGACTCAGGTGGGTCCTGAATTGCCACTGCAAGTTTTGACATGCTGTGTGCACTCATTCACTAAAATGGGCCTTAACATGCCAATGAGTGTTTTTGCCGAAATTGCAGCCACAAGGCATGTTAACAGTTTGTTGTATTGGGCATTTTACAGAGTTCGGGATTGAACTGAAACGGTATTCAGTTCACTAAAATGGGCCTTAACATGCCTATGATATTGCAGCCACCAGGCATGTTAACAGTTTTTTGTATTGGGCATTTTACAGAGTCGGGGAATGAACTGAAAAGGTATTCAGTGATCTCCATGTTCCCTTAACTGAAGAACATGCTAGGCAGTGGGATCCTTTTGTGCATGGAGGGCATATGCAAGGAGGTCCAGTTTTGAACTTGGTGTCCATGCATATGGAGAATTTGATGGTCCCTTCATCAAGTAACTGACTAGAATATAATTAGGAATGCAAAAGAAATAAAGATTAGTACATTTTAAGTGCAATTTTCATTAATGTTATGTTCACTCATCTGCAGGCATATTCCTTTCTTATCCATACGTGAAACTTTGAAATTCGCAAGGGACTGCACTCAGGGTCTGAGGCCCAAGAACTTCACCCCACAGATGAGGAAATTCTTCGCAGATGCCCTGGTTGAGGGACAGGACCCTTTCCTGGAATATGTGCTGGAGATCCTTGGCTTGAAAGAAATCCAGCATCAACTTGTTGGTGAAGAATTGTCTGAGAGTGATCATCAGAAGTTGACCACTGCTGAGCTTGCACTTGGGACATATGCTGTGATGCTTTATGACCAGCCACCTGCAGATTTAGACCCAGCAGCTATTTATGACCTTGTTGACATGCTGCGAATACTCAGCAGGTTCTAAAATTCTTGAACTCTTATGCCTACAGTTTCAATATATATTTGAATGAAGGAAAAGAATATAAAGTATTTTCAATCTCATTGATTGCAAATTTAATGTATCTTGATTTCTGCTAATCTTTCTTTCTATCAGGATTAAACAGTCCTCCGCAGTAATGGTTCTCCCTGAAGTTTCGCAAGAAACCTTCAATCTGTTTGATAGGCTTGTTCTTCTAGGAAATGGACAAATATTGTATCAAGGGCCTCGTCAGGATGCTGTCCTCTACTTTGCAAAGCTGGGGTAAGCATTATTTGTTTTAAGTACTGTGAATTATAAAAAAAAACTCCTCTTAGGGTTTACAGCAGTTGAAAACCTCGTTAGTTGGGCTTTCTCGGAGTCTAAATGTTGTTATGGATATCCTTTTTAATTACAGATAATACACATACATTTGGTGGGAAAATATGCACAATACTAAAGAAACATGTGCACATGATTGGATGGAACTGCTACAACTCTATCCCTGATTAGGGTGTTTTAATCATCCCTACCAAAGAGGAGGTGCTGTCATTCCCCACAGACCTAGGAATATATTGATACGTTTAAAATCATCAATGATCTTTATAAAAAGTTGAAAACTCAAATTCGTTGAACGAAGAGAAGGGAAACCAAATAGAAGGGATGAATTTAAATTTTGCCCTCATCAAATGCAAATTCAGCATCCACCTTCATCATAACATGATTATTCAATCATCAGCTGATTAGCTAATTGCTAGTTTTACATAAACCACATTATGCATTATTCGTTTCCTTTTGTAGTTTCAATGTTCGAATAATGATCGTCATAATAAAGGTTCTTAAGAAATTGATGGGCATCGATATGTAAGGTCTTGTCTTAATACTGGCTTAATAGGAATGTCTACAAGGATAGAATAGACCTTTCTTGAATATCATGCCTTACCCTTGTGTTTCTCCTTCACATGCAGATATACTAAGCCATTGCATGTAGATTCAGGTGCTTTCTTGGAAGACATAGCGAGTGGGCAGGGGTCCCAATACATTGCCCCAGGCTTTGCTGCATTAAGTGTGGAGGAACTTGCTAAGTGCTACAAGATGTCAGATCACTACAAAGATGTGATGAGAATTGTCGAGGGAGAGGATATCAAATGCACTTATTGGGTAAAAAGTGAAGCTGGTCTTTGTCTGTCTTTAAAGACAGAATTTGGACATGGTACTTCAGTCAATTCTGAGCCCAGACATGAGGCAGGTACAGCCTCCAACATCTTTTAATCTACGTCACTTATTTCTTTGTTTTTCTTGATTTCCTTGAATTATCATGTCTCCATGGATGCCCTTTAATTTTTATTGATTTTGTGCATATGTGGCACATGACATGTGCAGTGAGCTAACTGATGGGACTTGATTAGGGTATGTTTTTTAACTATCATGTTTGCTTGTTGAACATGCCGGGATTTCCATGAGATCTATTTTGATTGCGATATAGGGTTATGCTCGACTAGTGATCTGTGCATATGAGGAGCAACATGTGCAAATTGCCATGTTGCTAGAAATAGTTTAGTGTTTAAAAGTGAAATGATTACTATACAGTCCATATTATGACTCATGGATGATCCAAGAGAAGGCTGGGGTCTTATTGTTAACAAAATTCAAGAAAAACAACATAAGGTTTGCAAAACATATATGTATGCATCACTCCATTGACATGTTCTTATTCTCAAGCCATCATTTCTACATGGTATAATTACTGGTAAAATGAATTTCCTATCCTATGAATGGATAAAATTACCTACAGGATGACCAAACTAACTTTCCAATGGCTTGCCAATTCACCTTGCCTTTTGTTTTGATGTTTTCAATGGTTTAGACACCTTTGAGGTCAAGATACTATTTGACTCCATTTATGATTTTAGATATTAGCGTATGAATATTGAAATGTTGATTTTATATTGTGGTGTTTTCTTGTAGCTTTGTCTTCTATATAAAATTTATAAGAACTTATATATTTGAGTGAAGTGTTACTTATAAAAAAGAATTGTAATGAAAATAAATCATCAAATGTGTGCCCTGCACAGAAATGTATATGTATAGGTATGTGTCTGTAATTTTGAAGTACATATTTATGAAGGGATTGTTTACAATGAGACCATTACCTTAATATAAGGATGTCACAATTATTTATAACCATCCGGTGTGAAATCTAATAGCTTGGGTATGCACAAAGTTCAAGAAAGTTTCTTTTGAAGTTTGTGCTTGATCAATGGAATAAATACAAGCATCCAATTTCGCATCTAATGGTCAAGATTAATTGTGACCACCTTGTACCAAAGGCAACTAGTCTCATTGTATACTTTTCCTTTATGAAATTTATTGGATATTTTTACATATATCTACACATTGATCTGACATAATTTTGCAAATTTATGATCCACTACTATTAGTATTTAAATTTGGCATTACTATATCAATATTGTTATTATTATGTTCAATATTATTTTGTTTATTTCATTATATGTACTTATATCCATATAATGAAATTTGTGTCTGCTGTATCAAACACCTCTAGCATGTGTTGGACCATGGTTGTTCAGGGTAGGAGCAGGAGTGGGGGATCATTCCCTGCCTAAATTTTCCTACCTTGAAAGTGCATGGGATCACTTGTTTGAGTTCCACTCTAGAACATATGTCTTATGTATTATGTGGATTATATATGTACCTGGGAACACATTTCAAGGAGTGCCCTTAGAGAGTATACACACACACCCATATAAATATGGTAATATAGTACATAATAAAAACAAACTGAGTCATTTTTTAATATGATACATACATGCACCACAGAGACTCCATAGGGGGAGTCCCACAAAAAAAATAATTGAAACTCTGGGGGCCATGACAAGTTATGTAATTGTGATTCACCATAATCTTTTGATGGTGTTTATGAAACCTTGAGATACGATCTCCTGTCATAGTAAGCCATATAATCAACATATTTTTATACACACATGCGGCACACACTACTATATTATAGTGGGTAAGTGATTTAGACAACTTTATAATTGACAATTTATCTTATCATATATCAAACAACAAAATCATCTAATCATATATATATATATATATATATATATATATATAATGACTTTTGGTCATCATTTCATTCTAAATGGTATCGATATCCCATGCATAGTGGGATTGAGATCCATGTTAAATGGGACTGAGATCCCATATAATCAGAGCGAGCTCCCAAGGAGGAACAGCTCAGGGAACATGGTTCCATGTTCCTTGAGTATGTACTCCCCTTAACTAAGTGCCAGGACTGTTGACACCCACTGATACATGTCGAAAACCAAAACCTGTATGGATTCTAGTAGCAGTGATTGGCATAAATCACTAGATTGTCAACCAGTTTTTAAACAATTGGTGCCCTAAGATACTGCCTATGACACATGTCAAATGTTATATAAGTAGAAAGTATCCTTTAACCAGAATTTCATTGTTGGATGACATTTATGTATGTGCGATGGTGGCCTTGGCAGAGTTGGTAGTTGCTGAGTTGTCAAGCAAGATTGGTTCCTTCGAGGGGATAGAGAGCACAAGCATAGTTCAGGTTGGTGATGTCGTGAAAGGAATCTCCATAAACAATGAAGGGATGCAGTATCTTGGAGTAGATTCAAGGTGGAACCAATGTGATGACACCTCCCAAGTTTACTCAAAGCTTAGTCATGCACGTGGCCATATCAGTCTTCAATTGGAACGTTACAAAGATAGGGTATCATTATATAACTATATTTTCCTATGACTTTCTTAAAATGTTTGTAAGTTTTTCTCAGTCAATATGGCTCCCTGTAATTGTAAATCACAAATTTCTGCACACTTGTCGCTAGGGAGTTGCAGAAGTGTTGTCCTGAGAATGCCAGTTTGACCATTCGGTATTTTTGCCATGATTCCAGGCATCCTTTTTTATGAGGTTTTTGGGTTTATTTCTTCCTTGACCTGCATGGTGTTTCTTAATTTATGCATCAGCCAATTCTTTGTATATTAGGTCTATCCAACATACTGAAACTAAGAATGTACTTCAAGTTATGACAATAAAATATGATAGCAAGATCAATCCAAGGATTCTCAACAGAAAAATACCTATGAATATGCATATTGTATACGTGATACCTCATCAGTAAGTTATTGAAAATCATAACAATAATATGTTGTGAATATTCATATCTACACTATATTACTAAAGGTGAGTTTAAAGGTATGGGCGTGCGTGTGTTCATGCGTGTATGCATGCATGTGTGTGGAGGTGTGCTTGTGTGGTGGTGCGAGGTGTGCTCATGCGCACATGTATGCATGTGTCTTCATGTGTCAGATTTTGTATCTAAAATGTCCCTGTTTGAATAAGTGAATTCCATATAAATATGATTCTTTTGTATGGCATTTTGAATTTAATCATAGTCATCTAGAATATTAGAATTTCCTCAACAAATTCTCCTTATTAGTGACCACATAATTGAAAGTTCGACAGAATATAATAATTGCATTAATATTTCTGAAGTTTTTGTATTAAACTTTTTTTGAAAGTTTATTACTAAATTGTCTTAAACAGCGAGGTTTACAAGGTACTTTATTTTCAATTGTTTAACTATTCCTCTCCAATCTTTGTGCCCATGAATTGTACATGTTTGAATGCTAGTTAGAGGGACGAAATATTAATTATTGAAACTCAATCTGTAAGACACTCTTATGCCACTAAGACATTTGTATGGTTAACTTCTTATAGTTTGATTAAAGCTATGTACTCTTTCTTTAGGTGGTTATCTGCATGACATTTGATTATTGGGAATTTAGTTTTGTGCATGCAATGTGCTTGTTATAGTTTGATTTAAGTTATGGTACTCTTTTTTTAGGTGGTTTTCTGTGTGACATTTTACTACTGGGAATCTAGTTTTGTGCATGCAATGTGCCTGTGCGCATCCACTTCTTATGACCTTTACCAAGTGGGGACTATTGTGGAAACAATTATAGTTTCCATATAAATAACAGAAAAATTGACTCTCAGGACAGTTCTACAAAATTGGAATGGAAATTTCATTCATCTTTTCCATTAGAGTAACTATGACCATTTTTAACTCTCCTTCTTCATAGCATCCACTTATATGCTCACATGCTTTGATTTTTCAGGAGGACAAATACCAATCTCATTCTGAACAATTTCAGAGACCGTTCATACAGACCTGGGGGGAATCAACCAAGGTTCTCATACAGAGGCAAATGAAAATTGCTAGACAACTTCATATGTTGATCAAACTCCGCTTATTCCAGGTTAAGTCATCATCACCTTATCACCCTAGCGCACTTCCTGCTAGTTTCACTGCAGTTGCCAGCAATCCAGGGTTTTACCTTTGTATCGATCTGTACCATGCATACTCTACCTGCAGATAGACGCTGATTTGTTAGTTTATGCATCTTTATTTTCCATCTCATCCACCATGTAATTACTCAATGATGCTAGTCTGCATTGCATTTGTCTCATCTAAGCAGAGCCATGGCTGTTTTTTTTTTTCCTCTATATATATATATATATATATCTGAAGATATCTGAGAGGCGCATAGTTTGAGTTGAGCAGGCTGTGATGCATCTCGAGCCACACAATTTTTTTAAAATTTGTTAGGAGTGGATAGATTTTGTCCCCATGCTTAGGTGGACAAATAGGAGTAATGTTGCAGAAGATGGCTAAAATACCCATCTTTGAAAGAAATTCCCCTCAAATGGGTGCTTTTCTTTCTATACATATGACCATTAGGCCTTCGCTTGATTATATACAACTATCTGGAACCAACTCCAGTTTTCCTTCATAGAAGTAAAATTTCTTCAACTAATCAACTTTATAGCACCTAGTGTCAAAGTATTCTTACTGAAGACTTTTATTTTTATTGCATTTGGGTACGATTTACTAATAGAAGCTTCATTTCAGTTTTTTGATATCTTTTGCTTGATTATTATTTTGCTTTGTTTTGTACTCAGTTAATTGATCTATTGTTTACCAGTCTACTGTTTTGGGCTTATTTGCTGGGACGATGTTCTACAAGATGGTGGGGCAGTATAATCAGATGCAGATGAATTCTGTTCGGGCTCTCGGGTTTGTATCAACCATGAATGTTATGCTGATAAACCTAGTACAACTTCCTCTCCACATGCTTCAGAGGCCCATTTTCTACAAGCAGAGATCCCAGAGATTTTTCCGAGCTTCTTCCTTTGCAATTGCCTATCATGTTGTCAGCCTTCCACAGGCATTTCTTGAGGTACTTCCTTTTCTTGTTTTCTGTTTTTTTTTTTTAATCATCATAGATTCTGAGCTGATAATAGGAGAAGGTCCAATCTTTTCTGCATGTTTCTTGTGCACCAATTACAACTTTCTTTATCTGCCCTATAAAGCCTCATTTATGATGTCGGCATATCAGCTTACTTAGTTGTAATTTTCATGCATAATGAGGGAGATCTTCATTCCATTTCGGGAGAACACAACAAGGTTCCCTATACATTTTATCTCTGATCGTTATGTAATTTTAAAAGTTACTAGTTTCTTGAGTACTTAAGAAATAAATTCCTCAACATGGATTTGGAAAAGTTTGGCATTATGTTTTTTGAGAAGGTTAGGGTTTTAGTCCTAAAATAAAGAAATGTGTTATGAAAGAAGTACTTCTCGTTCCACCCTTTTCTGAGATCACTACATGAGAGGCTTGCATATTATTTTTGGTGGTTCCTTTTCCATAATAGATTAAAGTAGACTTCAGAAATTTCAAATATTTTCATAAGAATAGTTCCTTTTTGTGATTTCCTGAATTCAGCATTTCAATTTATTTCAGAAAAATTCAAAGCAATGGATCAGTCTCACATGAGACATAAGCGCACTTGATATTTTATGGCTTCCTAAGATTAGTCTAGGAGCTATGCAAGAATCTTTTGCCTTTTCCATTTTCATGCCAGTCTGCAATGTAGAGTTCCCTGTAAGGACCTTCCTACCTATGGAGTTTAGTCATTAAGTGGATAATCAACTTTTGTGGGCAGTCCATGGAAATCATGCTTTTGTCTTGCAGAATACTAAGGGTTTGACGAAAGTAATTTAATCTCTGTGCCAAAATAATCATTTTCTAAAAGTTTTTGAGACAGTCGACAACCCTTGTAAATTAGTTCCTAAAAAAGCCTTAGGGCTAGATGTCAGGCAGGACAGACACTAAGACCTGACCAGCAATGCTTTTTTATCATGCCCAATGTCTGACTACGTCTTGACTCCAACTCAGACACCAAACCTAATCCTCCTCAAATTTGTTCTCTTACCCAATTATCTCAAAGCCTGGGAGACCTAGGCATATATCTTTTGGGAATGTAAAATAAAGACATTTTTTCTTTGGTAGAAGATCACTATCACCCTAGCTGTTGCATAAGAAATCAGCTGGCTAGGGATGTGGCACAAAGTTCATGAAAATTTTTGTTGGATTTTTGAGCACTGTATAGCACAAACCAGGGTGTCAGATTTCACATCGAATGGGTAGGGATAATTGTGACCTTCTTGTATGAAAGGTAAATTGTCTTATTGTATAGTTTCCCATATCTAACACCCCACCCATCTTACCTGCATCAAACACCCTAGATTCCCACCTGTGGTTCTTTTCCAAACCTCCATTACCAGTTATGGATCGTTGTCCATTACCTTCATCCACCTCATTATGGCCTTCTTCCTACTTTCTAGAAGAAACTCCTACTGAATTCTTTCCAGTTCTGCAGCACCCTTAAGTTAATGTGGAATGGGGATGTGTAGTGAACCGTTGGTACAAGCTACTTTCTTTATGTTGTACTTGTTAGAACATCTAAAGTGCAGCTGATGCTTTTTGCAGGCACTGGCATACACAATTTGTGTTTACTTTTTGGCTGGCCTGTCTTTGGTAGCAAATGGTGTGATATTCTTGGAATACCTTCTTTTGCTATTTCTGGTGGACTTTTTCGGTTCATCTCTGATCTTTTTGATAAGTGCCATCTCTTCCATTTCTGAAATGGGGAGTGCTTTGGCAGGTAAATCTTTTCATCACCCATCTGGCCTTTTGACTGATGTGAATATATTCATGTGAGTGTTAGCTGTGTATTTGCAATTTGTGAATATATTTGTATGATCGGTAGCTGTGTATTTGCAATTTGCCTGGGTGTGGAGTTATGCATTCATCTGGATAAAATTATGAATCCAGCAATTATGCGATGAAAACATGATGAGAATAACTGTTAATATTTGGAAGAAGAAATACATGCCCAGAACCTTGGGTGAATCATACCAGAGATTTTCCATTTACCACTTGCAAATGTAGGCGAAACAACTATATAACACTAGAGTTCTCAAACTCATATATATATATATATATATATCTGTGTGTGTGTGTGTGTGCATGTGCGTGTGTATGCATGTGCGTGTGCATGTGCATGTGCATGTGTGTGTGTGTGTGGTATCTATTATAAAGGGCCGTAGCCTAGTGCTGGTCCCGCCTATGCAGGGTCTCGGAAGGGGTGGGCTGGACACGGTCCTAACCTTTGACTTATGCACAAAATGGCCGCTCATAGGACTCGAACCCGTGCTCTTGCGCTGGCTACTCAAGCCTTTTACCATCACACTAAGTGATGGCCCCTATATACATATTCAAACAAATCTCATTTGGACAATATTTTTGAGGGTGGTTTATGGGGGCATTTGGCGAAATGGCTGTATGCAAATCTTCCCCCCCACACACAACATCCTAATGGTGATTTTAGAAAACCATAGTCATACACCCAAAATTTGGAGAAGGGGTTGTCCTTACATTATATAGACTATTTTCTTGTCGAAACAGTAAGAGACATTGGATGTAATTATGAATCCACCCCCTTCTATGAGACTATTTGGTCTTTTCCCCCTCCTCTCTCTCTCTTTCTTTCTCTCTCTCTCTCTCTCTCTCTCTCTCTCTCTCTCT